GATGGCTACAAGGGCACTCAACAGTTAGTTTGACAATGTCCACTCTACACTAGCCCTTCTGGTTGCTGAATGCCAAAGGATTTTGCCTCAAGCCATAATGCATGTTGTGCCACTCAGAGGTCTAGGAGTTGTGGAAGATGGAAGTGGGTGGTTGGAAGATGGGGCAAAGGGTGAGGGCTAAGTTTCAGATAAGCAAAGAAGTAATATCCAGTCAAAATATCAAGAAAAATCTCCAAGGTGTAGGTACCAGAAAGTACAGAGCAGGGCAGGTCTAGAAAAGGCAGTTTCTCTCTGTTTGGCTAAAGCATTAAGTCCATGATGAGGACTGATGGGAGCAGGTTCTCCAAAAACTGCTGGGACCAGATATGAACTTAAAAATCAATGATGAGAAGTCAATTAATGATGTCTGAGCAATATTGTAGAAAGTGCTGTAGCCAGCCTATGCAGAGGATGGATCCAGAGGCTTTAACCAGAGGCACCAAGTCAGAGGTTACTCAGGGAAGAGTCAGCCAGGACTAAATGAGACTAGCAGCAGCTGGCCCAAGGCAGGGACAGAGGCAGGGACACTCAGCCACTTTCTAGGCATGATGAACAATCATATTCCAAGCTTGTCTCAACAGCTTGCTGATGACGTACAGACCATCTACAGGTCAGTCCATGACCTTCAGAACCAAGTTGACTCTCTAGCAGAGGTGGTCCTACAAAATAGAAGAGAGCTAGACTTACTGCTGACAAGGGAGGCATTTGTTTGACTTTACAGGAAAAATGCACCTTTTATACTAACACATCCAGAATATTTCGAGACAGAATCAAGAAACATCAAGAAGAGCTCGAGAAGTGTTGCAGAGAGCTGTTTCATCAACCCATTTGGAGTGCCTGGAATGGACTCCCGCCTTACCTCCTTCCTCTGCTAGGTCCCCTGCTTGGACTACTAATTCTTTTATCACGAGGACCTTTTCAGTTTAACAAATTGATGGCCTTCATTAAAAATAAAATTGATGCTATAAAAATGCAACTCATACAGGTGCATTATCATCTCCTTGATATGGTTGATATGGGAGACAGCTATGATGAACTCTAGCCAATATATAGCTAACTCTGTGTATCGATAAATTCATCAGATTCATTCTCTCCTTGGTGAGCAGGGCTGGTTAGCCAATGATGGGCAATAGAAGGACAGACAGTGTCATCCCCCAACAGCCCCCTAAGACAGGAATGGTCATCACAAGATGTCATCTCCAATGATGGGTAGGGCTATGTCACACTCCTGATCCAAGAGGTTGAGATCTTGATAAGTCCTCACAGCCTAAATCAACATCATCAGGCTCATTCCAGTTGCTGCAGCCTTGTCCTGCAAGGAGCCCATCCTTGTTGCGTTCCCACTTAAGGACGGTCTCCAATTGTGATGAATGCCAATGCCTTGGTGTGTTCCCAGTCACAGATGTTTTCTATTGTGAAGGATGTGGACCATGGACCAAGTGAACACATTAAAGGGAAAAGCCTCAGGGACTCAGAGGAAAAACAGCCCAGTTATGCAAGTGAGAGGAGGTCCTGGCAGGGCCCTGCCGGTTTCTCACCCCACTTCCTGGATTCCCTTCTCCAGAGCCTGCTCTCTTTCAGTCCCACTGGGGCTCTCAATGCTCTCTGTCCTTTGTGCAGCTTCCTTGATCTGTAGGATCTTAGCCAAGATCTGTAGGTCTGGGAGACGAGGGAGGTCTACTGTGGGGAGATGGATGCAGCCACAGTTTCCCCGAGATGGGACTGGGAGCGGCAGGGAGGCAGGGACACGGCCCCCTGTATGCTGTCCTTGCCTTTTTTCTTTTTGTGCTCCCACCAAGGTGACTCATGAGCTTTGCTCTGGGCAAACCCCACAGCCTTTGTCACCCTGCTGGATGTACAGATCAGGGCATGTACTCTTCCTTTCTCTGAGGACGGAGCCTGCTGTGAGTGTGGTTGAGGCGCCAGCTCACAGTTCAGACTTGGTTACCTGAAACTCTATCACAAAATCCCCGTGCTGCAGGAGAGGGAGTTACCTGTGGAGGAAGAATTTGCCAAGAGTCTCAAAACACTGGGGCCTCGAAGCATCCCGCCAGATCCAGAGCTCTGTTGAGCGGAGGATCCTGAGCACTGGCCACACTCAGAGGTTATTTTAGGGGAAACACTGTTACTTCATTCTCTAGACATACCCCTTGGCCACCAAGTTAGGACCATGTAGAGACTACAGAGGTCATCAATGGGAGCTGGTGCCTGAGTGGTGGTGGTGTTTATAAAATTGTGGTGTTCAGATTCCCTGCTCTGGCCAGAAAATACATCCATGAAGTTGTGCAGTTGAACACTGTCTAGTTCTAGAATTTTCAATGCCCCAGGAGGAGGCCCTATACCTCCTAAGCAGCCTGTCCTTCCAGTAACCCCCTCAACTTCATGCTCCGGAAATGTAGGTCCCCAAGGCACCTTGAGCTAGCCTGAAGCTGTTGGCGGGAACTCCTTGCCCCAAGGCTTTTGTTGGTACTCTTCCCGTGACACACACCTCGTGACACACACCCCATGACAACCACTCGTGATAACACAGGGAGGAGCTAAGCCAAAAAAATTCCTGTAATTTTCCACTGTGCTATAAATCGGTATTTAAGCCCGTTCTTGCCCCTCAATAAACGGCATTCGGCATTTGGTGTTCCGACTTTGCCATTGAACGAATGACCTGCTGTCTTGTCTTTATTTCAATCTTCTAGGCCTTCGCCCGATTCGTGGAACAGATTGTAGCGCGGGCGCTACACGGAAACCCTCCAATCTGCTTCTATCACGGTGGGCTTGCTTATTCTGTGGGTTTCATATAAATACACTCATTCTAGATGGCCTTTTGTGAATGGCTTTCCCCCCCCCCTTAACCTAAGGTTTCCTTCCTTCATTCCTTCCTTCATTTCTTCCTTCCTTCCTTCCTTCCTTCATTTCTTCCTTCCTTCCTTCCATTTACTGATTAGGTAGTATTCTGTCTGCATACATGCCTGCAGTCCAGAAGGGGGTGCCAGATCTCACTACAGATGGTTGTGAGCCACCAGGTGGTTGCTGGGAATTGAACTCAGGACCTTTGGAAGAGCAGCCAGTGCCCTTAACCTCTGAGGCATCTCTCCAGCCCTTTGGTTAACAATTTCAAAGATCAGCCATGTGGCAGCATGGATCAGTCAGTGCTCCATTGTTTCCCGTGGCTGAAAAAGTTCACAGTATGGTAATACTATGCCTTGTTTATCCACCCATACATTGATGGACACTTGCATGGTTTGCAGCTTTTGGTGATTGGGAACAGTGCTGCTATAAACATGGCCCCTGGCATATCACTCAAAGCACAGGGAATAAGAATGTGCATTTCTTTTCCATTGGCATCTTCCATACAGGAGGAGTTCCTGTCATGTCACATTCCCCAAATGGATGAAAGTTTCTTCTGTGTATAGAATGTCTCAGTCTGTTGTCATGGGGTGGCCTGGCTTCCCATGTAGTTAGGGCTTTGGCTCTCCACATGCCCTGCGGTTGATGTTGGAGCTGCAGACCGTGTCCCAGTTTTCTATATCGCCTTCCTATTTCCTCATGCTTTTCAGATGTCACGCTGTAGTTCTTCATGCCTGATGCTCTTCTACATACTCTCCTTTTTTATGGAGACAGTGTCTCATGTAGTCCAGGCTGGTCTGGAACATACTATGCAGCCAAGGATGACCTTGAAGTCCTGATCCTCCTGCCTCTGACTGCCAAGTGCTGGGACTGCAAGCATTTCTCTCTGGCTTCTGTCTTTGAAGCACACCCATTTCTTTGGTTACCCTCACCTTTTCTCATCCACTGAGTTACACCTGCCACCTTAGCTCAGGGGCCTCTTTCTGTTCCCATGGACTAACCTTCCTGATAATGGTCTTTCAAGTGCCAGAGTCTTTAACTCTGACATGGTACTTTTTTTTTTTTTTTTTAAGTTTTGTGGCTTGTGCCTTTGTTGTCATGGAATTGGATATTTTTTTCCCTGCCTGGACAAAATAAGTGGGTGGGGAGGGAGATTAATTAGACAAAAAGAAAATAGGATGGCTTGAAATATTTTTATCACCTCTTCACTCAGAAGATCTCAACCGGTACCTGATTTAAATATATGTATATGTAAATAACAGAAGGCCAATATCTTAGAACTACTGATATATACTTCCTGAACTCTAACCCCTGAACATCAGTGGGAACATCCCGTGTGTCAGTTGGGGTTTCCAAAAGCCAGGCTTAAGGGGTGAATGTAGTCATTAGACTTAAGACGGTTTGAATTTAATTATGTTTTATGTCATAAGGACTTGGCAAACATGTGTGGGAAGCATGTGGTGTTTCTTAGTTCTGCTGGATACATTTCTGAAAGTCAGTTGATCCCCATTTGGACTATTGTCTGGCAGCACAAGGAAAGTTCTACACGAAAGTTCTACAATCAGCCTTACACTCACCAGTTTGGTAAAGTTCTGCATTCGCCCAGAAAGCTTGAGGCAGGTTTCTCATTTCAAATCCGAGGCTGGTTTCTAGGTATGTGTTCAATATGAAGCTAGCTATTGGTCTGCGTGACTGTCACATATTGGCAATGCAAATGGCCACTTTATAATGCATTGTAATGGCAGAGCTAATGTTCTCAAGGACCTACAGGGTGATGCCAGAATCCTTTTTCTACTGAAGAAACGAAGCTTTGGTTAAATAACTTGCCTAAGGCTCCCTAGATTTTAGAATCAAAGCTAAGACTGACTGAATGAGAGTTCAAAGCTCAGAGTCTGAACCACTAAGTGGAACTATTATTTGACGACTACTAGATCTAAAAAATTGACCTCAGCAGTGTCCCTTAGAACAGTTTACAAGTCAACTGTGCTATCTTTTCCACCACCACCCTTTGGCTGCGCAGGCGCATTGCCTCGCCCACCACCATCCCTTCCGCCGCCACTTCTCGACTGCGCAGGCGCACTTCTTTGCTCAGGCCGACGGTGGAGAAGGGTCAGACTTGTAGCTACTAGGAGAAGCCACTCGTAGTGTGCGTGCCCGAACCCACGGACTAGGCTGGCCATGGCGATGGCGACGGCGGAGGACAAACGGACGTCACCGGAGCCCGCGGAGCTGCCGGCCGCCGTACGTGCGAGCGTGGAGCGGAAGCGGCAGCGGGCGCTGATGCTGCGCCAGGCGCGGCTGGCAGCGCGGCCATACCCCGCGGCGGCGGCCACCGGAGGTGGGGGTCCCTTACGGGCGCGCGCTGGGCCACCCTCCTGCGGGTTGATGGCTGCATCCCGGGCAGCATCCCTCTGTGCTTTAGTGCCCACTCGGGTCGGTGTGCGGGATGCCTCCGTGGTTCCCGATCTTCCCTGTCGTGCCTTCTGCCTGGCGCCTCTATGGTTCAGAGTTTCCAGCCTTGCAACCACTTAAACAATAAGCCTTCACCTTCTAGTCCAGCCCCTAGCAGAAGCGACTCTGGCCCAGTCTTTTCCCCTGCACCCTGTCTTCCAGGGCCTCATTGAGTAACACGCAGAGCCCTCACTTTGGAGTTATCCGATTGGAATTTCACGGCCAACCTGGAAAATGGAAAGGGCAGGGCTTGACACCCCTCCCTGTTATACCCCTGGCAGTCGAGATAGAAAAAGGTTCATTTTTGTCTATACTTGCCATCTTAGGTTAGCCCTACCTGGCTGTTTTTCCGAGTTCTTAACGTCAATTGTGTTTTCAGCTGTTGGCATTGCCCTTAGGAGTAATTCACCCGAAATATTTCTACAGAAGTAATTTACTTTTTTATTCCTCTCTCTTCTTTCACAATTTCACGTATTTTATATATTTGTATGTGTGCCATACTTGTTTTAGCAGTATGTACTGAATAATAACGTGTAAGTTTTGTGGCAGTTTGTACTTTTAGACTTGCTGCTCGAGTTGCCATTGAATTTGATTTGTTCCCATTTCTGACCAGCAGAGCTGGATTGTAAATTAACTTAGATTTGGATCCTTTGAAGCCATTTGAAAGTCCTTATACAGCATTTTGTAATGTAAAAAGCCATCTTCATTTTTGTTGGTCATAGTACAGATCTTGAAAGATCTGACACAACCTTAGTGTCTCATTATCCACACGCAGACAGGACACTTAGATAAATGTCTTACAACTATCCTTCCCCTGCGTGTTGGGAGTGCAAACATCTTGGCAAGTACGGATCCTGAACACCAGGGAAACTAGAAGTAGCATAGGATGGCTGGGTCTGGTGCCACAGGTCTGTTACCTCAGCTGCTGGGGAGGCTGAGACAAGAGGGGTTTGTTCAAGGCCCCCCTGGGCTAGAGTTTGAAGTAAGCCTGAGCAAGTTAGCAAGGCGGCATTGACTGTAAAACAGAAGGCTGTGGATGTTGCTCAGTGGCGGAATGCTTGCTCAGCATGCTCAAGACCTGGGCTCTGGTGTTGAAAAGGAAAGGTAGTTTAAGATTAGGCGAGGCTGGTCAGTCCACCCTGTGAGTGTTCTTGCCTTTGGAAGCAAGAGTTCTAAATCTTATTTGAGTGCCCCACCTGTTCCTTCACTCAGCCACCTCAGGGTAGGAAGGTGTTTTGACTTGAGAGGATTTACAAGCTGTGTTTAACTCTGTTCAATTTGTTGTTTGCTGTCGCAGGGAATCATTTCTCTTCCTGTTTCTGCCACTAAATCCTCAAGGAGCTGCTGCTTCTTTTTAAAATTTATTTTACATACCGACCTCAGTTTCCCCTTCTCCCATCCCCCACTTCTATCTGCCCTCCAACCCCCACCCCATCCAGTCCTCAGTCTCCCTCTCTTCAACTGAATTCCCAAAGCTCCACCCAGTGCTTGGCTATGGATCTCTGCATCTGTTTCCATCAGGTATACTGGGGGAAGGGTCGTGTTTGTCTCCCTTACCATCGTGTTTCTTAAATAGACACTTCTCCAGCCAGGCTTCTGTCTGTTCACTTTTAGTTCTGGGTACAATAATCACTCTTAAAGTGTTTTTTTTTTTTTTTTTTTTTTACAGATGTCTAGTATAGAATCATCAAAGTAAATATTAGGTATCGCCACTGTACTTTCTGTTAGTGGCTTTCCCCTGCCTTTCCAAGCCTTGTGTAGAAGGGAGTTAACTGCAGGGCCGGAGCCAGCTACCCTTAGATCTGCCGAAGGCTTGGCCCTTGGCTGCTATTTAAAAACATGGATTCTGGTGTGTTTCCACTGTTCCCAAGCTGGTGGTTTACTGTGGCTAGTCTGTATATAGAATGTGAGGTATACAGAATCTGTATATAGAACTTATGAGGTATACCTGTGTAGGTCTTTGGAAGGCAAGCATTTGGGGCTGCAGTATGGTAGGGAAGGAAGCTCCCATACTTAGGATTCTTCTAGACAAACCCCCCCCCCCCCCCCGGTCTGGTGTGTCTTTTCACTTGACTTTTCATTTGTATTTTAAAATCCTTGGCAATTAATTAGTGCATGTAAATTAATTATTTTCTCAAGTTGTGTGCATTGCTGTAGAAGATTAACTGCAAACCGGGGAAGCAGTTATTTATAGCCAGTTGATCAAAGTCCCCGATCTCCAGTTGGCATCTGAGGTTGGGCAGTGGCAGTCAGGGACTTAATCGTCAACCTGTTGGATCCCACTCCAGGTAGACAGTGTCAGAATGGAAGTGAGGGCACTGAGCTGATAGTCAGTGGAGGATGGTTAGGGGTGTAGGTGCCTGCTGAATAGTGTTGAGTGGTTTGTCCTGTCTGTGATTGGAGGAGCTTAACCTCAGATGTGCTGGGAGTTCGTGGAGATCTGGGCTTTGGTTTGGATTTGTTGTAGCCATAGCAGCGATAGTACTGTGAAGGCCTCCTTTCCTACTATAAAGTCATGTGAGTTCCACCAGCTGCATCTGGGTTGTCTTGGTTTCTGCTGTGTCCTGTAGTCAGTGTAGAGGCTTCAGTCCTTTGGTCAGAACAGCAGGTTCTTGTGGCTGCTTTACAAACATGCTCATGTCATCTGTGAGGAAATACCATTTTACTTCTAACTCTTAGGCTGTTTTGTTTTGTTTTCTTGCCATGTGCCACCAGAGGGGCCATCTGGATGCTTTGAATGGAAGTGGTGACACTGTTATCCTTTTCCTACCTGCAGAGGAACACTCAGGCTTACCCAGTTCAGCTGATGACTGCCTTTATCTGCTTCCTGTAGGCATGACCAGTGTAAAAGCCCCTTCCAAAATGATTGACACCAAAGGAGGCTTCATTTTAGAAGAGGAGGAAGAAGAGGAACACAAGATTGGAAATATTGTTCATGAACCAGGTAAAGCATGGTTTTCCACAAAACCATGAATAACATTGGCTATTCAGAGTAACATGAAGAGTTCTTGGCCCTTTGATCAATGAGAAGATTGGTGGTAGATTAAAAAGTCAGAGCCCTGGGGAGGTGAGGTAGGGAGGGACTGAAGGAGTAGAGGGAGGGGAAACTGTAATCAGGATTTATTGTATGGGAAAAGAATCTATTTTCAAAGTCGTGGGGGGGGATCAACTATATATATATGTATATATATACATACATATTTATCAGTTTACAATTATAACTTATATATGCTCCCTTTTTATGGTAGAACAAAATATGCTTATACATGCAATTTCTTGATCAAATGGTAAAAGTTTAATTTTATGAAGCACTGCAAAACTAGGCAGATTCATAGTTTTAAACTATCATCAGTAATATAGGAAAGGGCTGGCTTCTCGACATTCTTGTGACAATTACCTTCTCGGCCTCCTTAGTCATATTACAGTGTGAATCAATAGCATACTTCAGGGTTGAATTGTGTGTGCTAGATGCTAATGGTGTTGAACATCCATTTAAGTATTTGTTGCCCATTTTAAATTTGAATCAGTGTTTATTCAAAACTTCTGTATAATTTTAATTTAAACTTTCTATCCTCTAATGCTGATATAAAACTATAAATTCTAGATATAAGTTTCCATTTAGTTTCAGCATGTAAATGGTTCATTTTCTCTTAGCTCAGGATATCTTTGGATTGACTTTGAAGAGGATTTTGTTTGTAACATTAGCAATGCCCAATTAAAATAACTCCCCTATGCAAAGAGGAGAGAGAGAGAACATTTTATACTTCAAAATTCACATACAATTTTATTCCTATTCTCTGAAGTATATAATTTATATTCTGGGGGCACACACACACACACACATATGTGTGTGTAGTAAGGTCTGGTGGCACATACCCTTCATCCCAGCTGGTAGATCTTTGGGGGCCGAGGCCAGCCCTGTTTCCACAGTTAGTTCCAGACCAGTCAGAGCAACAAAGCGAGACGGTCTCAAAGAAGGAAAAGAAAAAGGCAGACCAGACTGGTAAAGCCTAGGAAAGCCCTCTTCTAGTTTCATTTTTGTTGTGACAAACACCCTGACAAAAAGGAAATGGCTCATTTGTTTTAGAATTCCAGATTGCAGTCCACCATTGAGAGGACTTTAAGGTAGGACTTGAGCAGCTCCTCCCAGGTGAGGAGCTAAGAGAAACAAATGTACCCATGCTGCCTGCATGCCTAACACCCCTCTAGTTCTCTCTGCTCTTATGCAGTGCAGGTCTCCAGCCCAGGATGGTGCCTGCCACAGTGGCTGCGGCCTTCCCACATGAATAGAAATGAAGACAGCCCCCACAGACAGGCCCACAGCCTAACCTGATTTGATGTTCCTCAGTCTAGGCTCTTATATCTGGTGATTTTTAAGTTGTGGAAAGTTGATAATTAAAAACAAACCCCATCTTAAAAAAAAGAAAAGAGTAACAATAAAAAATAACAAGAGTAAGAAAGAGAAATTATAGCTCAAAACAAGAAGCCAGTACCTGAGAAATAAAACTTAGGATACTCTTATGTAGAGTTGGACTAGAACCTGCCAAAAAGGGGGTAACATGTGGATAAATCAGCTGTACATGCACATTCTCTCAGCCAAGAATGCCTTCCCACTGGAAAACAGAAAGGCTTGCCATCCGAACGTGTCAAAGCTGGAAGACCCCAATGTAGCCGTTAGCTGTGGCATAAAGCTTAAGTGTGCCCAGCATAAAGAGTGGCAGCGCCTGCTAGCCTGTCTGGACACTGAGGCCTAAAGGGTAACATGTTTATGTTTATATTGGATATCATATTTCAAGAGTGCATGTAGGCAGGCATGCAGGCTCTGAAAAAGAGCGGCCAGAAGTCTTGTAATCGACACAAAACTGGCTGACCTAACTGAGGAACTCTCCCAGCAGCCCACAAGCCCAGAAGTGCTCTCTTGGTTTAAGGAATGCACACTTGCTGGTATTTCTTTTGGGGAGCAGGGTTTGAGACTATTAAGTGACAGTTCCAGAGAGGAAAGTGTCAGCCCCATATAATAGAGGTGTGCTTTTGTGTGTTTACCTCTGGATACTTCCAGAATGTTGCATAGATCATGTGGGCCTCTAAGTTCCCCTGAAGAAGTGTCCCTCGCATTGATTGCTGCCTCCTACTGTAAAGTCTCAGGGGGATTCAGAGCACTAAGATTGATGGGAAGACTGGGGAGGGGGCAGGGGAGAAGGAAAGCAAAGCAGGACCACCTCACCTTAGTGCTATGGGAGCACCCTTCGTTATGAGGGAACACATAGGATTCAGTGACCCCTATGTCCCTGTGAAACTGTCTCGGCTATTTTTCTCATTGCAGTGACTCATAACTGACAGGAAGGATTCAAGTGAGGAAAGTTACTTTGGCCCCAGTTCAGATGGTATCAGTCGGCCATGGAAGGGAAGGCAGGCAGTGCATGGCAGCTGCTTGTTACAAGGTACCGACCAGGAGGCAGCTCGAGCCCTTCCAGAAGTGTGGCTGGACTGTGACCCTCAAGGTCTGCTCTCCAGGCTTCTACTCAATTGGTTCTCAACCTGTGTGTCGTGTCCAATTTGGGGAGTCAAATGACCCTTCCACTGGGGTCACATGAGACAATCAGAAAACACAGATATTTACATTATGATTCATAACAGTAACAAAATTACAGTTATGAAGTAGCAACAAAATTTTATAGTTGGAGGTCACCATAGCATGAGGCACTGTTAAAGGGTTGCAGTGGGGAAGGTTGAGAACCCCTGATCTAGGCTCTATCTCCTGTAGGTTCTATAACCTCCCCAAATCGTGCCATTACCTGAGGATCAAATGTTCCAGCTCATGAACCCCTGGAGATATAACCATAACAAGACTAACCATGATTAGTTTGGATTCCCGAATGTACAAAGGCTCCATTTTAATGTGATAAGCCATTACATAATAGTTGAGAGTCTCCTTACAAGCAATAAAACAGTAACAGAAATGAAAGTTTACTAAAAGGAAGGACAGATCACATGAGCATCATGAGTTTCAGATTCCTTTTGGTCAAGGGGCTGAGGTCTGGTTGAATCTGAAGACATTGAGCCTACCTGTACATCTTAAAACCACTTTGTTTTGATTTTGGTTTTATTCTTGAAAACAGCTTGAGTTAGACTTTGTCTACCCTTATAGAGGGTACATCTAAAAGACCGTGTCTGTATCATCTGTAGTGGAGAGCACTCATTCACAGGAGCTGAGCTCTAAGCTCCCTTGACTGCTCCTGTCCAGCTGGTGGCTTACACTATCCACTCACAGGCTAGAAGCTCTGCCCGTGTTAGTAATTTCAGGGTGGTCCCCATCCGAGCTGCTTTTGCAAGCACAGCCTGCCACGGGAGAGCCTCGGTTCTTGCTGCCCATGGGATAAAACAATTGTGAGGTGGTCGGTAGTGCGTGACAGGTGTTGATGCTGAAGGCGGACATCCCTGGAACATACTTTCTGGAGCTTGATGACCTGTAGGGGCACATGGCCAAAGATGAGTGTAGACCATCATGTCATGGTGGAAAATATGTAAGGGTTCTGAACTGATGGAGGCATGTGACAGTGACTTAGGAGGCACCAGTTACACTCAAGACAGTGAGCACACCAGAACAATGAAGGTAATGAAACATTTAAAAAAAAAAATCATCATTTAAAAGTAGAGAACTTGACCGGGCTGTGGTGGTGCCCTGGGGAGGCAGAGGCAGGTGGATTTCTGAGTTCAAGGCCAGCCTGATCTACACAGAGAAACCCTGTCTTGAAAAAAAAAAAAAAAAAAAAAAAAAAATCAAATAAATAAATAAATAAAATAAAAATACAGAGCCTTTGATAAATGGATAAGGAGAAAGTGTGGCAAATGGGAACAGGCTGACAGGTGGGCAATCTCATGGGTATATTTAACAACTCCTGGGATGAACTAATTTTCACCTACGAAGCATAGCACCTCTTGGGGCTTTTGGATAATGTGTTGTAGGCATCTGATGGCACTTCTCATCACAGGGTTTCTCATCCTAGTGGATACTCTGAAGCTACCGACAGCCTTGTTCTGAAATGTTTTGTTTCTCTTTTCTATAGCTGTGCCCTGCTGTATTAAGAACCATTTCTGAGATTAGTGGAGTTACTGGGTGATGGGATCTCGACAGACCTCTAAAGAGGGCAGTGCCAGAGGTGTGTCTGTCTCTGTGGCAGTCCCCAGAGATGGAACTGGGTAGTGGCAGCCATCCCAAGGACTTTCCAGTGGGGCTTACACTTCCCTGAGGACCAGGGGCAGTTCTGTGTGGAGTGCCGAGGGATGCAGGGCAGTGATTCTCCCTCGTTTATAATCCAGGAGGTGACACGATAAAGTGGTTGTTGACAGGGTGGAATGAAAGAAAAATATTGTCCCTGTCTGAGGGAACTTGGCATTGACTCCTAATGTTGCCTTGCTCTCTGTTGCTTTAACTGCTCAGTGGCTTGGTGGCTTCTCATTCTCTCTGTAAGGAGATGCCTCCCCCAGTCCTAAGGCCAGTCTTCTTTATGCTATTCGCAGTACTGTAAAGGTGGAATAAAAGCCCCCAAAGATGTCTGTATTGTAGGCAGGATTAAAGGTAAAGACCTTGAAAGGGGAGATCACCATTATCCCAGGGAGCCCACTGTAATCAGGGCTTCTAAGGGGCTGGGCTTGCAAAGGAAACCCGTGATGGGAAGCTGGAAGCTGTTCTTGAAGATGGGAGGTGGGGCAGGACTATGGGCAGCCTCTAGAAGTTTGAAATACCCCCAGGAAGGAATGCAGCCCTGAAGACTACTTGAATTTGACCCACTAGGCCTCACTGGGCTGCCAAACCTCAGATTGGTGAGGTGACAGATGTAAGTGCCAGCACTTCCTGGGCCAAGGTTACCTAACATGACTGATGAGTAGTGAATCTTAACCAGGCTAGATGGAGGGGTCCCGGCAGGACTGAGGATGAGACAAGTTTATTCCAAGCAATCAGACTTCTTATCCCTTATCAGAAACAGAATATAATGGCAGTTGCCAGGATGCTGTGACGTTTGCAAACTGTACAGGGTACAGAAGATGAATCTTAAGACTAATTGTGCAGCCAGGCTTCTGTATGCTTCGCTGACTTCTAGGGAACACAGATACACGGGTGGCCTGAAGGCTTCACTGCCTCAGTGAGCGCCTCAGCTTCCCAGGAACTGAAAGGCACACAGCCCCCGGGAGCCACAGACTCTAGCCTGAGAACCCTATGACTTATGCCTCTCAAGCAGCTGGACCAGGCCAGCGCCATGACTCCCCACACAGTCTCTTGCCAGTACATGGATTCCTTCCTGCGGCAGTGTAAGCAATGTAGCGCTTTCATGGTTGGGGTTCAGACGGACTTGATGAATTACTAGTGCCCCCCCCTTTCTTCTTTTCCCTCTTAGAAAACTCTTTTCTATAAGTCTAAGATTAGCCAGTTTTTTTTTTTTTCTCCTTTCTTTTGGGCTAGTAAGATAGAGGAAAATATGTCTTGCTTTATTCCTACAAGAGGATAAAGAATCCCTTTCCTTCTTCCTGCAGGGCCCGTCATGGAGTTTGATTATGCGATTTGTGAAGACTGTGGGAAAGAATTCATGGACTCATATCTTATGAACCACTTTGATTTGCCAACATGTGATAGCTGCAGGTGCTTGTCTTCGGCTTTAAAACTGCTGTTTGTTTTTGTGGTGCTAGAAGCATTCTAGGCAACCCAACTACGGAGCAGATTGACTCACCCTGAGCTGTCCAGGCTAACACTGAGTTTGCAGTCTCCCTGCCTCGGCCCTCCAAGTAGCGGTCTTCCATTTGAGTCTCCGCTGTTCTCGGCCTGTGAGCCACGACCCCTTCCTCAGGGGTCACCTGAGACCATCGGAAAACATGGATTTTACATTACAATTCATAACAGTAGCAAAATTAGCTATGAAGTAGCAGCGACAAGTTTTATGGTTGGAGTCACCACAGCATGAGGAAACTATTAAGGGTGTAGCGTTAAGGGGGTTTGAGAATCACTGCACTAAAGAGTGTTGCTCAAAACTGTTAAAATGGTTTTTAATTCCATTTGTGTGTCCTCAGTTGCCTCTTAATGTCTCTCCCCACTGCTTGCCATCACTTACTGAGTCTTTGTGTCTCTGTGTGTTTGTGTCTGTATCTGTGTGTGTGTGTCTCTGTGTGTGAGTGTGAGTGCATACTCATGCAAGTATTCATGTGCGTGTCTGTCCATTCTGCCCAGCAGCCTCTGTGAGCGTGGTTCTCTGCATGAGAGCTTTCTTTCCTGCCCAGTCCCTGGGCATTTTCTAAACTCTTTGTGGTGCTTTAAGTTCCCACTCTGTTTTTACCCGGGGTTTTGAGCCCCTGGAACCCAGCTGTGTGGAGATGAGACCTTGAGTGTTTACATTTATTTCTTACCACCTTTTTGAGGCAGGGGCTGTGTACCCTGGGCTGGCCTTGGACTTTCAGTTCTCTTTCTTAGCCTCCTCAGAGCTGGGGTGATGGGCATGAGCCACTACTTCTGGTGACCGTGTAATTCAATTTGTATTTTCTTTCTTGTGAGTCCTGTTTTTTTATTGTATCTTTTCTATTCTTATTTCAAGTCCTTTATGGAATAAGAGGGACTTTAAGAAGATTCTTAAATTGTCATGTGACCAGAGTCTGCTTGAATTTTTATGACTTTGATCATGAGAATCAAGGTCAGGGAGGTGACGTTCACATCTTTGGGTGTGTAGACCTTTTGTTGCTGGGCTATCAGAAAACTCAGTTTAATTAAAATTGTTTATATGATGCTCTTTTCCAGAGATGCTGATGACAAACACAAGCTGATAACAAAAACAGAAGCCAAGCAGGAATACCTTCTGAAAGACTGTGATTTAGAGAAGAGAGAGCCCGTGCTTAGGTTTATCGTGAAGAAGAACCCTCATCACTCACAGTGGGGCGATATGAAGCTCTACTTAAAGTTACAGGTCTCTTGTAAGCTGGACTTGGGGTGTCCAACCGTAGGTGAATTTTGGCAGAACTGACTAGTTATTACTAACTGTGGTTTGCTCACACAGTAAAGAATATCCTTTTCTTGGTTCACATGTCCATCCTAGTCACAGCTAATGACTTCTCAGAGCATAGTGTTTTCTCATCTCCCTTTTGCTGGGGTAACTTTGGTATAAACATGTTAGGAGTATAATTTGGACACTAAAACAGGTTTGGAAAGGGTCGGACTCATTTGCCTATCAGTCTTTTACCAAACAAGACATAGAAAGGCTCTTAAGATAAATAGCATTTCAGTTATTTCACAAATGTCTGAAGCCTAACTGTATTGGGAAATACATTCTGGAATGTTCCCAATGCCCCATGACTTGCACAGCTCAGAGGTGCAGATTTCAACGCCTGCTCTGAGCAGATTACACGTGTGCTGTGGCAGAGACCCACTTACTGGTGTGTCCTTGTGCCCAGCCTGTTTCCTCAAGTCCCAAGTGTCCCCCTGTATCTACTCCAGAATGGCTTAGAGATTAGAATTTTTGCTCAGTTATATGAAAGTATGAAGAGACATTGCTTTAGAGCTGTTTATATAGTAACATACTAGACGATATTCTAGTATTATTAGATAATTATTTGTATATAATTATATATTATATTTATTACATAATTACACATTTAGATATAACTATATATAAGAATATATTTAATATAATTAAGTCTATAAATAGAATTAAGCCACATTGTAAAACAAAATGTACTGAATTTCATTAAATACATGATTACTGATTTAAAAACTCACCATTTGTATTAGGTACCATTCAAAATAAGTAAAAATGGTGCTAATTAAAGCAGCTCAGGTTTTCCCACATGTACTGCTTTGTGCCAGTCTTCTTTATTTTGGTCCCTAGTACCGTACTCATGCAAACAAGAGGAAAACAAGACTCTCATGGATTTCCTGCCCCTCTTGACTTTGTGATTGGACTTTACATTTTCTTTCTCATTGAGTCTTTTCTTCATTTATATTTCTTTAGTCATATCCAACTCTTTCTGGGAAAAGTGGGACTTCAAGGGAATTCTTCAACTGTTAAGTTACATGGTTTTGTTCCTAATGTGACTCAATGGCATCGGTGAGAGTGGGAGGTGGGACTTCATACGGTGCAGTCCTGAGTCCCAGGTAACTGAAGTGTGAACTGTGCTGTAGGTTGTGAAGCGGGCTCTTGAAGTTTGGGGTAGCCAGGAAGCGCTAGAAGATGCAAAGGAAGCGAGGCAGGAAAACCGAGAGAAAATGAAGCAGAAGAAGTTTGATAAAAAAGTAAAAGGTAAGTGGCGGGATTTCCTCTCACTTGACTCACCACCGAGAAAGGCACTGCGGGCCTTCCTGCCTGTAACTATGCTGGATGTCTTTTTCAGAGGGGAGGAAAATGGGCTTGAACTTTGGCCTCAGTGGGTTGGTATGTGAGACTTGGTGCAGACAAACCTCACAGTACTGCATCTCTAAAGGCCATCGTCTTCATGGGAGTCATTTTGTGCGTCAGTGGTGGCGGGATGGGGGTGGTGGGATGAGGTCTTTATGTGTGGCCTGCAGTGTTCAAGAACACAGTGACAAAAAAAATAACTCAGTAGCCACCTCTCTCATTGGTTGAAACAAAAACCATGAGCTACATAGTTATCAGATTTAGTAGCTAGAAGGAATAACTGGTATGAGTTATCCTGGGCTTCTTTATTTAAATGACTAAAGAAGCATGGAGAAAGAAGAGTGGATTGTGGCATGTGTTGGGACAGTTGTCAGGTTCTCTGAACCTTCCTCGTGTGCACACCCATTCTCCCATTGATGCATCTGTCTACATGCTGCACTCCACTCCCTGATGGATCTGTGTCTGCGTCCATTATCCACATGTGTATCCATGTGTGAATGCTTTCATAAATCTGTCCATCCACGCACATCTAGTATTTACCATGTGCCAAGCACCGTACTCACCGAGGTGCTGGATTGTCAGGAAAGGAACTTGAGATGGTAATAGAGTGTGCTGGCTATGGCACCACATCAGGGATGAGTCCACGGTGTGGCAGGAACACTCAGGGCTGTAAGCAAAACCCCCAAAGAAGGGTCTTCAGGAAGTAACCAGCACATGCCCTTCTTGTGGTCACTATGTAGAGTTCCCGTGTGGTGTGTGTCTAGGTAACATGTATCCTGCATGTAGATTTGGTTATATATTTACTTGATCCATTTCAAGTCAGTATTCTAGCCATGTTAATTTTCCTTATGATTTTAAAATGTAGAAGAGGTTTTACAGGGTGAATGGGGTAGCCCAAACGTCTTAAAAGCAAAGAAAAGGGAGTGATGGTACATGCTTGTAATCCTAGTACTCAGGAGGATTGTGAGGTGGAGGCCAGCATGGGCTGTAGAGTCCTTGGCTCAATAAACAAAAACAAAAACCCAGGACAAAACCTGACCCCACCCCCCCAAACCAACTAAACAATAACAAAAAGCCAAGTGATCAGTTAACCAACCAACCAAATGAAAAACCCAAACAGAAAGCAAAAGCAAGGCAACACAAGTCCTTGCGGCTTCCCCTGGGGCTGCTCTCCCCTCCCCAAGTTTTCACTGTAAGCGCACAGAAGGCAGAAAACTTGGAGAAATGAAGTCCTGCTCCATGATTTTACTGCTGGTCTTGAGTCACCATGTGACACTCCTTTCCCATGTGCAGACTCTCAGACATTTTGAAATAAAACCGGTAGCACTGTTGGACACAAGTAGTGTATCAAGACAACCATTGAAACACTTTTGCATAAGTGACTTAATTCCTGAGCAGATAGGAAGCCCACTTGTAAGGATTAGCTGAGGTTTCCTGTAGCAAATGGCCATAGAAAAGGCATTTCATTGAAGTTCTCCAAGCCAGCCAGAGCTGTGCCGTGCATTCAGATGCCAGCAACAACCAAGTGAGAACAGTTGCTGCTCTTAAACTGGCCTTTTCTGTATCTTCTCTGGTGTTTTGCACCAGCCCTTCTTCTCATAGCAGAGCTGATACAAGATAAAGCAATGAAGAGGTGTATTAAGAAAGGGGTGTGGAAGGAAGCCTCCAGGTTAGTCATCTGCTAGCTCAGGGTGTGTGTGTGCGTGCGTGCGTGTGTGTGCGTGCGTGTGTGTGCGTGTATAGTGCCTGTGTGCAGTGCACACGTTAGTGCATGTGCTTTTGGAAGCTAGAGGCCATCTTAACTACCCTTGTGATAGGGTCTCTTCACTGAACCTAAAGCTGGCATTGTTTAGGCTGGCTGGCCAGTGAGTTCTCAATATGCAGGACCCATCTGTCCTATACATCTCTCCCACGCCCCAGTGCCGAGGTTACAGCCAGCTATGCTCCACTTTTTTTTTTTTTTTTTTATTATGTGGTGCTGAGGAATTCAAACTCAGTTTCTCATACTGGCACTCTTACCCACTAAACTGGTGGATTCTCCGATCACTGTAGTGCAAGCCATCTCCCCAGCCCAAGTCCAGGGTTTTATAGCTACCAGAAATCAACCTGACCCTTCAAACCTCAGATGATACTTTGGTGCAGACAATGAAATATGGATAAAAGAATAAATACCAATTAGAAATACGTATCTGCAAAGTGATGAAGAACACTATAACTTTTTCTAAGGCACTGATTCTATGGTCTGGTCAAGATGTCATATAATCGTAACTAAATTCCTACAGTTTGACTAGTAAAAGACTATGAGATACACTTAATTTCTTGCCTTTTAATATGAAGAGTATTTATTTATATACATATATATATTAATAGAGATAGAAATTTCCTACAATTTCCAAAATATGCACTCAATTGGTGTTTACTCTTTGGTCACTGTATTAGTTCAGCAGACAAAACTACCATAAATTTTCCTTATTCCTTAGTTGCAATTAACACAGATTTTTTTGGGGGGGGGGTTCATTTCTTGTTTGGGTGAAGCATGATTTTAAGGAACTGTTTGCATGAGTGTGTATTCTCCATGTGCCTACAGGTAAGAGTGCCTGCCATGTCCCCCTATGCATATGACTGTGAGTTCTGGGCAGCCTGTGCCACCTCGTTACCTTGGGGTGTTCAGTGTGCTGAGGTCAGTGTGATGCCTTCTTTAATTGTGGCTTCTTATTGATTCGCTCCAGTGCTTGGTGGATCTGTCCCTGTCCTGACCAGACCACAAAGGGCTGAGTGGAGTAGACTGTAGAGTAGAAACGAGGAGCTGATTGCGCAGTTTGCTCAGAACAGAGAGGAATCAAAGCAAGTCTAAAGGCTTTTTAGTTGGAATGACATTGGAACATGGTTCCTCTTGATGCACAGCGAAGCTGACATAAAACTTTCTTCTTTATGGGAAGGTAAGCAATTCTATTTGCCTGCTTTTAACATATGGTTCGTGTTAGCAGTTAGAACACTTGAGTTTGCTTCAGAAAAAGTGTGAATACTCTAAGTACATATAAAGTTCCACATCTCCGAGCCAGAGCCAAATGCAGGCTTGCTGCTGCTCAGTTAGCTGGGTTTCGAAGGATGCATTGCCCAGTAGCAGACAAGAACCCTGAATTGGTGTGATACATACACCGTTTTTTTGGTCTGCAGGCTTTCTTGCCTTAAATAAGGTGGGACTATGATGTTTTTCCATGTTACATGCTTAGTTCCAGCAGTTTTCTGTCTGAAAGGCTAGTCAGCTAACCTTCATGGCCCCCACCCCTGCAAGAGGCAGGTAAGGACATCCCATTTAGAGGGCCCTTCTGAATTTGTAGACACTGCACACTGGCCTGTCATGTGACTGTCATGGGGCTTCTCTGAGGAGTTTGAGGGGTACAAGTGCATCCTGTTTAGTTCATAGAACATAAATTTGTAATCTTTTTCCTCCAGGTAACAAGGATACCTGCCCTCCCACCTAGCATGCAGAAGTGTTGGGTGTCCTTCAGCTAGTTCTTTTGTACATTTATCTCAGAAGCAGCACTTGATTGCTTTGACTGCAGACAGCCTGTTTTGCAAAATGTAGTTACTAAACACAAGCTTTGAAGTGGTACAGATTTTTCACCATAAGCATCTTGGTCAGTCTCTGTGGGGAAATATCCTAAGCAGTTTCTGAGGCTCTCAGTAGCAAGGCTAGTTACTCATTTCCAGGAGAGGCAGTCTCTGGGCATCAGCCGTCTACTCCCAAAAGGATTAGAAAGCTGCAGCATGGCAAGCCACTCACCTTTTGGTGCTCCAGCCTCCCATAGGCCCCAGTTCTGTGGGGTTCTCTGCACCGTGGTTCCTATCCCCGGGTGGTTAGACCTGCTGCCCCTATTTTTGTGTACTCTTAACCTTTGTATCTCAGAGTCAACAAAAGACAGCTGATTGCTGCTTTCATGAGGGTTGTGAAATCCATAAACCTTCCCTTAAGAGTTTTGGGGGCCAGTGAAATGGCTCAGTGGGTAAATGTGCTTCCTGCCAATCCCAAGTTTGGTTCCCAGAACCTATTTGGTAAATGGAGAACTCATTCCTGCCAAGTTGTCCTTTGACCTTTATGCCTATGCTCATCATTGCAGTGTTTTTCCAAGTGTTGGCATTTAGCCATTTCTAACCTTTTGCACTTGCATACACTGCTAAGCCATGAGTTACTTGTGTACATTATGATTCTTACAAATCTAAAAGCGTATAACTAAAAGCTCATCATAACTGGGAAATTTAAAAGCAATTATGCAATATATAATGTTTCCCATCTGTTGTTCAGTGCCCTCTCATTTCCGTTTGTTAGATCCAAGAGCCACTGGGGTGACACCTTTAATGTCACCTCTCAGCACTTTGCAGCACCCAGGCCAACTGTGGGGCAACACACTCCTGCCCCTCGACTGCTCAGCATCGTGTTTTTGCTCCATTAGACTGAGGTCTGTGGGAGGAATACTTCCTAGGAGATAAAGGACACATGAGACCTGCCAGTTTTTGTTGTTGTCTGGGTGTGTATGTGTGTGAAAGTTATCATTCTCAATGAAAGTACTTCTTTTTGTAATTACACATGACACTGTGGATGTAGCAGTGTTTTACTCAGTGGTTTAGTGCATGGAGATGAGTCTTAGCTGAGCCAGTTTTCGTGTGTGCATATAAATAGGGGCCGTTTTCTTGAGACAAGGTTCATGTAGCCTAGGGTGGACTTGAACTTGTAGCAATCTTCCTGCTTCTGCTTCCCAATTTCTGGGATTACAAATACCCATCACTGTTCCTGTTTTCTTTTGAGATAGGAACTTACTAAGTAGCTCTGGCTGACTTCCAATTCAGAGATTCACCTGCCTCTGCCTGCCAGGTGCTGAGACTAAAGGCATGTGCTACTATCGAGGTTTAATAAGGATCAGAATAAGCAATTAGGCCGAACAGATGTTTATTCAGGGAGAAATAACTCACAACATAGACAGGTGAACACCAACAGGTTCCTGCTTCCAAGAATTCCTCCCGAAGTCCCCCATGCAGCTTGCAAGAGAGCGCTCTCTCATGCCTCCACCCACCTAGTTCCCCAGGTCACTTCCACCCCTGGCTCCACCCCCCAATGGGTGTGGTCAGTGCAACAGAAGGAGACAAAGTGAATATCCCACTACACTGACCCTTGGGTTTTGTTTTGTAAAGCTCCCTTAGGACTGATTTGTGGACTCAGATCATGGCAGTGCAGGCACCTCCTGTCACTCTTCATTTAGATGCTCAAATTGTCTGAGGTTTGGACAGTGGAGTCTTTTTTAAGTTGGTTCTTGTCTTTTCCTAAAGCCCCTTTTACTTGGAAAGAATTTCAGATTTGCAGAAAATTGCTAAAATAATGGAACTGAGGACCCCCCCCCCAACACACGTCTTCCACAGTTGTCATGCTGATATTTGCATCATGTGCACGTTCTCACTAGAAACACTTTTTCTGAACCACTTAAGAGTATGTTGGGTAATCACTACCATTGTTTTCACCAGTGTGGCATTAGCAGATTTAGTATTTAGTAGATTTTAAAGTGCTGTGCTCTACTTCTGCTCACTGACTGAACACTATTTTAGTGTTTCCCTTCTGAATGAACTTGGCATAGACTAATGTTTCAGGCACTAAACAGGTCTTCCTAACCTGTTTTGATATTAACTGCCCTTGCCTTTTATGCCAGGACATTGTTGAGTCTGTTCCCTTATTCTACACTGTTTTGGGAAGTGAAGCCTTTTCACTTTTGTGGATTTTCTGCTAATACAGAAGTGCAGGCTGAGTATCTCAGGCCGGTGCTAACTTTTCCAGGGCCTTCCATCTGGAAGGTACAGAGTACCCATCTGCTCTCAGTGGAAATATTTTGATCTTTATCCCGTAAACGAAAAGAAGTAGACTATGGAAATAACTACCCCTCCTAGCTCCAGTTCCGCAGCTGTCTACTGGCAGCATTGCTGGAAGCAGTGCTACTGAGATGGCTCCAGGACCAGCTTTGCAGCTCGAGCACTCCTAGGGCCAGTCAGCATTCCACAGTCAGCCAGCCAGCCAGCCAGCCTGTCAGTGAGTGAGTGAGCCAGCCAGCCAGCCAGTAGCACTCTGCAGCCAGCCAGCCTTCTATAGCCTTATTTTTGGTAAGGACTCTGGTTTCTCCAGGGTTGATTGTTCATTTGTCTTCATCTTGGAGCTCAGATTGTCTCAGATTTGATCCAGTAGAGATCTTACATATGGGCTGCCTGTCATTTATGGCCTTGACAAGCTGAATGTGCATGAAGTCATGTGTGTCTGTCTGTGTCTAAAACCAAGTGCTTCCCGATAGATCCTCCTCCAAACTTAGGGAGGAACCTGAGAACCTGACTGCTTAACAGTAAGGAAGTGTTGCATCTTCCATCACTCCACTTCCTGTCCTGGTAGCTCCCTTGCCTTGTGCATGCTCTACTTCCTGTTCTTAGGCTTTGGACCACTTGTTTGGATAATGAGAGAAGAGCAAAGAAAAACCAAACCTAAAGTACAGCAGTTTAGACATCTCTAATCTGAAAATCCAAAGTCCTCCAAAATCTGAAATACTGCCAACAAGGAAAACACATGTCCAGACACTAGAAATATATAAGACACATCAAGCTATGTGTGTTTTGTGAAGACTTGGATCCCATCAGTAAGACCTGTTCTGTATATGTAAATATCTAAAAATATCCACAAATCATGTTCAAGAGTTTTTGATACGCAATACCCAGCCTCTGCTCCCACTTCTGCCAGGCACATCCAGCTTTCCTCGTGTCTTTACATAGTTTCACAGACTTAACAGCAGTGAGAAAGAAGATGCTAGTCTTCAGTCGTGGCTGGAAAGCTAGGTTTTTCCATGTACGTAGTTATGTATGATAAGAAAACAATTTTTACCTCTTCCCCAAGTACATACAACATTCAAATCTGGCAAAGAAGGTAGCTTAGTCTGGTACTGCAGCCCAATTTTGAGGGATTTTCCCTGCAGGGAGGGCAAGGAGAGTGGCAGGGTATATTCCCCCAGCCAACTCACACAGGAGATGCCTGCTGCCCCACTTGCAGGAGGCACAGCACTCACTCAGGTAGCAGAGAGCTTTGCAGAGATTCGAGGAAAAATCAGGCACATGATGCACAAACTGACCCTTGTAAATCTCAGTAATGATTTACAAGGTAAAGAATGCTGCCCAGGGCCAGGGTGATCTCTGGGGACCTAAGCTGGGCTGTACCTCTGCGCACAGCTGACTGACCTTGGGCAGTTTGTAACTTTTGCCTCCGTTTGCCCATCTGTAAAACCCTGGGATGACAGCTGTCTGTAATTACCCAAAAGGATGTAAAGTTAATGCATCTTTAGGACTTAGCCCAGTATATCACTGTCTTGCTTTTACCCATGGTATGTTATGGCTGGAAACAAAGATTCAAACAGTGCTTTTTTATAAGTTACAACAAAATATCTCAAGGAAAATGAGCAACCCCTGAAATCTGCAGTTATCTATTGTGAGCTAATTGACAATGGATGCTAGGAGTGATCTCAAGTCCTCTGAAGAACAGTATATGCTCCTAACCACTAAGCCATCTCTCCAGCCCCTGGCAACTTATTTTTAGAAGCAATGGTGTTGGCATGGGAATGTAGCACAGTTGACAGAGTGCCTGCCTAGCACGCACAAAGCCAGGACCCAATGCCCAGGCTCTCATGCCTGAACAGTTGAGAGAGGCCACAGGCTACAGAGTTTGAGACCAGCCTATGAGACTATCCTAACAAAACAAAACAAAAAGCTAAAACAATGCTGTCACTTTATAAAATAGACATGAGGTCACTGCATGAGCTGTTTTTCTATGATGGAAATATAACAGCATACACTAGTAGAGTCTTGGCTTTCTAGCTTTCTTGTAAGAGAACTTGACTGACAGGAGCTCCTGACTAAAAACCATGGGATCTAAGCCATTCTCATGCTTTGCTTACTCCAGCTGACTTTGCTGCTCCTGCATCCTGTTTTGTGTGAGATGCCCCCAACACACATCCCGTTCTGTTTTTTTTTTTTTTTTACTGCACTTCTGACTACCCCACACAGCCTCTTCTGTCAGTTCATATTGCTTGATAATGAAATGAGCAACTGCAGAGACTAAGCAGGCTTGGTGGGTGAGCTTGTTTAACCAACTGTTGGCACTAAAGGAAACCATTATACACATTACATACTCAAATACCAATGAAAGCCTCATTGGGTTTGTTTTGTATTCAGCTGAAAAGCTTCTTGTTCCCCTTAGAATTGCGGCGAGCAGTAAGAAGCAGCGTGTGGAAAAGAGAAATGACTGCTCACCAACATGAGTATGGACCAGAGGAAAACTTGGAAGATGACATGTACCGCAAGACGTGTACCTTGTGTGGCCATGAACTGACATATGAGAAAATGTGACTTTTAAAGGCAAATTTATATTCAAATAAAGGCTCTATTCAACTGTAACACAGCGTAGTCTCCACGCTTACCGAGATTATTGTTTTTAAGGTCTGGCCAAGGGCACAGTGTCCCATTTGTGGGAGCCCAGTGGTATAGCAATATTCAAAAGTGGCAGGTTATTTCCTTTACTAACTAAAGAAAAAACCCTCTGGTGATGGATATGCTTAAAGAAAATGGTACATGTGCACACCCCCGTGTGCCCCATTCCTTTGCACACAGATTAAGTAAAAACAAGCTACTCCATGAGAACAAGGGACAACCCTAGGTTGGATAGGAGAGGAAGCACTTTCAGGGTGAGGTCCACAGAACTGAACTTAGCGCAAGCCAGCAGATCTGATGTAAACTGCTGTGAAGTCTTCAGCAATGGCAACAGTCAGTGTCACTACAGAAACAAGTACTCTGTGGAAGCGGGAGCCAACAGTGAACTCTGGAGTCTGTGCCCAAGCCCCACTCTTCAAAACCTTCATGAAGCAATGAAAATGCTGGGTCAAAAGGGAAAAGGCTACTTTCAAAACCGAGTATCAGATTACTTACTTCATCCAAAGCATTAAACTTCTCACTTATGTACCCTTACCTGCCTATAAGTTCTCTCATCTAACCGGGAGAGGTAACAACTTCTTTCGGTGTTTGTTCAACACTGAGGTCGGAAAGTGACAGCTATAAATATTGCTTCTCCATATCCATTTGCATCAGTTAGCCAGATTTTTCTTCAGTCTTGTCAAAGGTATTAACAACAGCTATCAGAAGCAACATTATAAGTGAAGAAAAGACCAAGAGAAAGAGCTGATGTTGGTGGCACACACCTTTAATCGCAGCACTCAGGAGGCAGAGGCAGGTGGATCTCTGTGAGTTCAAGGTCACCCTACTCTACAGAGCGAGCTCCAGGACAGCCAGTGCTATCTCAAAGAACAAAACAAACAAAAACCTCAAGCGAAGGAAAAGAATAACACACAAATTTCTCTACAATGTAGCTCAAGTAGAACTAGCTGAGGTCAAAAGCTGCATAGAGGACAGACGCCTTTCCTAACAATATGTACTGTGTTTAAACATCAGCAAGGAGGCTTCAACAAAGACCCAAGCTGAGATGAAGTAGGTGCTTTCATCCCTCAGATACACCAGGAGGCTTGTGCAGCTCACTTTACACATTATACTTGTAGAAAGGCCAAACTCAAAACAAGTCAACCCTAAATAACGTGGGACCATCATTATTAGTTCTTCTTTAGGAACATTCAGTAGATGTTCTGTATGTTTTCAAGACTGGCATTTTATGTATGCTATGTTAAACATTACAGCTCAGTAAAAACTGGGCCTGGACGGGCAGCCAGACTTTCTTGTAGACAGAGACGTTTCTGGCCTGATGGCTAGAGTAACTTGGGGTTCAGGCTGCTGTTAAGTATTACTTGCGTTGTGGGGAGATAAGGTGCTCCTGAGACAGACACATGGATTAACTTCCTGAATGTGGACTTCAGACAAAGTTTTCCTGGGGTTAGCTTCTATCTGTGAAGTGGGCACAGTCATATCAGAAATCTGTTGGGAAGATTTAAGATGGTGAATCTTTGTACCCAGTGTGTAGCAGCTAACACTTACTGTTATGTTAAGGCCTACGTGGTGAGATCTGACTGGCTGTATGCCTCTGTTCTCTGGCTGGATCAAAGTTAATCCTGGGGTCCAGACATCACTGGTAGCCCAGGTTGGCAAAGGCATCTCACACCCTTCACTTTTAGAAATGAAGCAACATGTCTACCTTGACAAAAACGTTTTACAGAGCATCGGAATGACTTCACAGAATCTGAGGCATGGTATAGTGACACCACCCCTGTCTGGGAGAACGCAACAGCTGCTTTCTGCTTTTGCATTTTTTCTTCTGTGAGATACAGCCTTCTGTTCAGTTTTCCAGCCGACAGAGGAGGGGCACATTAACAGTTTCTAGAAACAGCCACCGTACAAGGGGATCCACAGACAGGAAGAGCACAAACTCTTTCAGCAGTAGAACAAGGAGAACCAGGCTCCACTGTGCCTCAGGAAAGGATACAGTCACCAATGCCTTCAATAGTTAATTCTTTGACTGCTGGAGGACTGGAATCATTTCAAATCAATTACAGCAAGAGCTGTGTTAAATGGGGGAGGAGGAACAATGTAAATAAATAAGATACTTAGCTAAGAATCCAGATTTTTGCCTTTCTGAAGTACCTGACATCTAACCTTGATCTACTGAATTCAAATGAGTAGATAATACTCCTGCTTTAAATATGGTATTAAAAAAAAAAAGCTTAGGAATTCCCATGTATTAAGAAACCATATTCTAGTAATTAAAGACCCATATATTCAAACAGACAACTGTAATGCATACTTACTAGCATGTACAAAAAGATAACAAATACACAAAAATTACTACCAGTAATTGTATCATTATTAGCAGATTTTTCTAAGGTTTAATAAGAAGTTTAAAAAAATCCCAGAAATTTGGAATGTCAGATAATTATTTTACAAAACACACTCATTTCACTGAAGCCTTAATAGGCTCAGGGACCAATTATCTCCCCCAGGACCCACAGAGACAAGCTCCAAGCCACACTGAATCCACGTCCTTCTCGGCTCATTTGTTGCCTGCTGCACATCAGTTTGTGACATTACAGGATCTTGAGCAAACCCTCCTTGGAGGTGCAGGGCTTTTCAACAACAGCTGCCAACCTGTAATCACCTGAGGTAGAAAAACTGCTGCCATCTCCATTGTACCCCGAGATCACAGTTGAGATAACTCAAGATTCCTGGGTAGCTTCTAGCTAGACAAATGTGCGAATTAGTACTGATAATTTTCTATTCTAACAAGTAGTGTCATAAGATGGCTGCTTAAAAACATTTGCAAGAAAAAGCTTCAGATAGAGACTAAGTATGCTTTCAGTAAGAAAAGAGACTAAGGTAATAAATCATGAAATACCAAAGTTTAAAAAACATAACTTCAGTTTATTCCAGCCATGTTACCCAGGAGCAGAGAAAAGCTAGGCTCCTAGTTGTATCTACTACTTTGCAAGTCTGGCCTTGCATTTCACACACCTCAAACCTGTGGTTTTGTGCCCTAAGGAGAAAAAGTATCAGATCCTTCACAGGAAAGTTGTGTCTCACGTATGTACAACGCTATGGTCACCATAACATCGTAACATAGCTGTCATCAAAGCACACTTGCCCTTCAGGGCAACAAAGGGTAATGTCATACTGCTCGTTCTCCTCCCCCATTTCCTTTAGGAAGTGAAAGGCTACTACAAAGCAAACATTCAAACCTTCAATATAAGACAAATTATTTCAAGATAAAAAGGGAAGAAACATGACCGTTAGGCCTGCAGAGCACAAAACTGCTGAAACACAGCCAGGATGTGAGGGTCTAACTCGGCAGTAAAAAGCAGGTTCTCCAGGGTCACCATGTACTGCTGGATTATCTGGTGATGCTGTGGACACAGAAAGGAGGCTTGAGTCAGGAAACCAAACACAAGCAACCTTGCAGAACATTTCCTCATGGCCCACCCATGTTTAGGGTTGACAAGAAGTAGAGGGCAAGTATTGCATGCTAACATATCTCCTGAGAAGCCCAGCACTAAGAGACCATGCAGGGAAAGGAGTGGAGGGACATACAATCATGTAAAACCAAGCCCAGTTCTTAACAGCCCTCATAGGAATGGGACCCTTGATGCAAGGTACGGCAGGCACCTGCAGCTACACTACAGACAGTTTCAGAGGACATCCTGAAAGTCAGGGCACAATACATTGCAGCCTTTTGAAAATCAGCCCTATTAGGGAGCCAAGGCAACAGAAAATGAAAACTTTTTCTCTGAAGACTAAAATACACTTAGAAATTTCTATAGAACTAGGGGCTTCTCAGTTATCTTTTGAACTGGCTAATAACTACAAATGCCTGGGGGGAGAATTATTACTTGGAGGCTTAAAGAATTGAACTTTGAAAATAACTAATTCTAAATTAACCACTTTCTAGAACAAAGAAGAACATATGAAATTAATGCCTTGAACAGGAAAAATTAACTTCACCATCCTGCACATCAGTAACCACATCTGGAAGCAGGTGTTGGTACTCTGTGTCCAGAAGCCCCAGGGAGTTTACCTTGCTCCTGTGGACATGGTTTACCACAGGAATTTAAGATTTTAAAATACCTTTATAAATTCAGTTACAACACCAAGTGTTAGTGGTCTCCCGGCCAACCTCCTTCATTTTAGATTACAGACATGCTGGGCTCTCTACCACAGAAAACAGCAACCCAGAGCGTGAGTGATATAAAACCAAATTTGTCTAAATAGGCTGATGAAAAATAGGCAGCACATGGACATAAGCTAAAGGGCCTATAAGAGTTACATAACCTCTTGGTACACTGGATGACTTTTTTTTTTTCTTTTTTTTAAACACAGTGGTCTCATGCATGATAGACAAGTGTTTTAACACTTAGATTGCTGAGTTTTGTTTTACTACTGCTCAGGGCCCCACACAAACCTGCAGGAAGATCTGCTGCAGCCTCTCTATGCAGTTCTTATACCATGGGGTCAATATGCTGGTCCCATCTGTTTCACATCGTACCAAGTGCTCAGTCAAGATCATGATGAAACGCTGGAAAGGATGGAGAAGTAGAGGAAGCATCCATCAGAGGGAGAATCTAACTGCTGAACAAATCCAAACCACGAGTTCTCAGTGGCTTGTTGCTCCTGACTTTCAGGGCTCCCCCTGAAAGGGAGGATTTAATGTTAAATCCTTTAGCCTCTTCTAGAAATATGTCTTGGCTTCTGTCCTAAGAAGCATGTAAATAACAATCTATGTACAGAAATGTTCATAGGAACGAAAGCAATCACCTAAATCATCAGCCAGAAGGAATAAATGACACAGGTATTTAAATGGTAAGAAAACAGCACAGAATCACTGTGGTCTTCAAGTGGTGACACTACTCTTTGGCAAAGTTCTGTGTTCTTACTATTTTTGTTACTAAAAATGACCATTTTTCAAACTAAGG